TGTCTGCTTTTTTTCTGCGTATTATACATCGACATATTTGAAAATTGATTCCTTGATGGTCTTGCCTCTAGTAACAATTTTTCTGCTCGGATATACAGCTGTCTCCGGCCATTGAAACCATTGTTTTCAATGTTTTTAGGGTATTCATTGTGACGTCGACGTCGTCACAATGCCGCTGCACCCATCGGTAAATTATATACGGCTTCAAATCCAGTGAATATATAGTGTCATGAGCTGTTTTCGTTTTTAGAGATTATGGAGGAACCTTTTATAAACTGTAAGATAAATATGTTGTTTCCACCATCTTTACAGTCGGGACTTGTCTTTGAATTGCCATTTTATGCCAATTCTATTTCCCGATTATTATTTTGCAGTTGATTAAGGTATTGGAAAAGGCACTAAGAATTAAAATTTAAAAATATATAGTATATATATGGATTCTAGGCTAAATAAAAATTGCATGATAATTTCGTCACCCTATTAAAAAAGAAAAGCCACTAATAGGAGAACACTTGGCATTTATACCTTGCATAGTTATAGACTTTCCTGGGGTAGATAAAAAGGAAAAAAATTGCAAACAAATTTGTTTTTAACATAGGAAAAAGTATGCTGTGTAACAATTTTGTAATTTTTCCTAATTATGTCAATGTCTGCAAAGATATGTATTGTAATTCCTCTTTTATCTCAGTAAACCTATGTCGGTATATATTGGCATATTGTGTTTGAGATTTTTTCCCTTAATTTTTACATCAGATTAATGTATTATGATGTTTGTACTGACAGAGATTGCCTTGCATCTTATTGCTTTCTATAACATTAAATCAAAATCATAATATAGCAATTAATTCAAAAAGTATTTTTCCTGTTGTTTGTTTTCTTTACTTTGATTTGTTTCTACTGAATTTTAGAAAATAAATTATATTTGTACATATACGAGTATTTTTTGATCAACATTTTGTTTCCTAAACTGAGGAAAACCGTTGATGACAGGCTTGTCTGCGTGTCCACTCTGTCTTCACCCTTAGTTTGACCCAGTCAAGTTGTTAATTCCAGAGAATACCGTTTTGACTTTTTCACCTCCTTGACTTTTGAGTAAACCTTAGAAAATTCAACAGATTTTATTTTCCTCTTTTTTAAAATTTCATTCCAATTCTCTTCCATGTACTCTTTTGCTTTAATTACAATAGATTTATTGAGTGATACAATGTCATACTTACTTTACCTCTATCTAAGAAGAAAACAACTATTTTCAGCAGAAATGAAACATAAATTGATTTTTAAAAATCAAATGCTTTTTGGCTTAATGAATTTCTTGAGTACTTGGACATCTGTTTTAAGTGGTGTTTTTCGCCACCTGAGTTGTTTGTCTAGATCAGACATTATTAGTCGGTGGTTTTGACGCGGGGTTATCATTTTATGTTGTCTGGTCATCGCGACCTTGACTTCTCAATGCATCGTCAGTAAGACCGATGACCGAGCGACAGAGCAGGGGGAAAAGAAAAAAAATACAATCGTATTATCAGAACTCATCATCAAACCAAACAAATTCTCTCTCATCGATGGACCTCAACTTTCCATGCCCTCGACGAAAAGATTTAGGTATACAATAGAAAAACATTTTTTTTGAAAGGAGAAATTCCAGAATTTTTTTTTGTCCCCCGTGCGGTCATTTTCACCGAGGTGCCTATCACAGTGGTCAAAAAGTTAGCAATTACAAATCAGTGAGGCGTAAAGCCTCGAAGTAAGGTCGAGGAAGGCTCTCCTGACCAAGTGACCGACACAACACCTTTCTATCTCATCGTCTCGAAACGTCTTTTCTGCGGACACTTGGTCTCTCCATGTTTTTCAATCACCATGAAGGATTACCCAAACCATGTCCATCTGCAGAATTCTTCGTCAGCTAGTGCACAACTTCTGATGCAGGGAACGGCGCTTTGGCACGCTTCAGCTTCCCAAATCGGATATATACCTACCATTCAAAGTGTCAATATCTCAAATGGTGAGGATACGTTACAGTAATTACTTATCAATTAGGAACTTTTGTAGATAAAAATTGTACATTACGTTTGATTTGAACTTTTGAATTGTTGTAGTATTTTCTTGTAATATTAAAATATATGTGTCATGGGTATGCAAATTAAGAACATTCTTGACATATTTCATGCACAGGTAGGGATGATAAATATTCACGGCTATCAAATATGCATGGATAATTAAGCTATCATCTTTTTGTTACAAAATGTTGAAACTAGCTCATAAATATCTTGTTTCATTTTTAAAATTTCATATTTCCTCCCATTATGTTTTTTTTTATTTCTATGATTTAAAATAAAATTAAGAATTATAAACTAGGTAAAACAAATCACTCTATACTAGTATTTCATTAAATCAAAGATGAAACTTATTTTTTGTGTGAGATAAGATAAATCAATGATTGAACATGAATAAAAAATGAAAGAAAAGCAAATAAAATATCTAATTAGTTGACCTTCCTGCAAAAAACATGAAACATATATAAAATGTTATAAATACTTAAAAGTACAATATGTTATAAATACAAAAAATTTATTAAGATTTGCTTAACCAAGTGGATATGTTCAAGCACAAAATTCATTACACAGAATTTTTGAATATCACTTAACTTTAAATACTTAGTTTTCAAATGATACAATCTGAAATAGTATAAGCACTTTCTCTTAAAGTTTTTATATCTTCTCGAGTAATGTTTTAGACACATACAGAAGATTATGTTTTACATTACTAAATGTAGAATTATATTTACAGTGTTGACATGCCTATTGCAAGTCATACAAGAGTTCGGAAAAAAAACTTGTTATGTAGAAGCTCAACTAATTATGTAATTTACTGTTCCAATGAATGATGTATTTTTCCTTGACAAATACATGCGGGTTTACAAAGAGCTTGAAACAATAAATCCAAATCAGAAACTTAAGGTACTTATCTAACATTTACATTTTATCATAGAGCCTCCATTTATGATATGAAATTATACTGTGTGTACCAAAGTAAGATGGACTTGTATGTACTTTTTTGTGAACAAACTAAAGCTTTTCTTTATATTTCTTAACTACAAAACACTTAGGAATAGTTTAAAAATTGTTTTGTGAGGTAAAGTAAAAAACTCATGTAAACTATTTTCAAAAGTATTTATGTAACAATTAAGTCATCAATGTAACCCATCTAGTGTAAATAGGAATATATAATTTTTATCGAAAAGGAAATTATTGAAGAGTGTTTTGAAGGTTATATTTTACTGCAATTACTTTGTTTCCTTTACAAAAAAATGTAAAAATTTTTATCATTGATATTTTTTTTAAAAAAAATTCAGAGTGTGCATGAATAGTTACGGAAAAATTAATTGTTTAATTGTCTTATGACTTTCAAATTTATGTATTCACAGAAATAGAATCGCGTGCATGCACTTAATATACCTTGTATAGTTTATGATGAAATATTTCACTCTTCTGAAAGGATAAAAAAGAACAACATATTAATGATTCAATTTCAGAATATAAGGCTTATATTTTTGGAACCATTGGTATGTTCTTGAACCTTATTATCAAAATTTCAATTTCTTTATTGATGAAGGTGCCGCGAATGACATTACAACTTGAAAAGGATTTAAAATTAATGCTTATAATTTCTAAATTTCAAACCAGAGATAAATATATCCAAATATATAACTAACACTTATTTCAGTGAAGTATACATCTATTTCATTTGTCCTAGAAATATAGCTTTAGTGGCAATAAAAAATGTTAGACTATTCATGTTAAAAAATATACGAATATAAATTAAGATTATGTTTTTAAAGGCATTGAAATTTGTAAGTAGTATTGATAAAATACATTGTCGACTTTATTCATAAGAATTGAATAAAATTGAATGTTTTAAAAATATTCATTCATAAATATCACTTGTTATATGAACCGCAGACACTATCAGTGCAAAATCAATACGCTGTATTTGCAACAGTTTTATTTCAACTTTTTAAACATGCAATAAGATATTGTAAAAATAAAAAAAGCAAAACTTAATATATCTTTGTGAAATTTTTGAATACACGCCCCCACTAGAATTTCCACTGCTTAATCATGCATATCTTTAAAAAGTCTTATGTTATCGTCTTACTGTAATTCCTCCTAAAGGCGGAGTTATGCTGCGCAGAAAAAAATAACATTGCACAAGATTATGAATATTCATGAGTTTTCTAGATTTTTACTGTGCATGCGATATGAAAGAATGTTTGTCATAATAATTTTGATGACAAATTTGTTAATTAAATGGATATAAAGTTAGAAGACAAAAACATAGAAAAACGGTTATTAAAATGATAATTACTCACAAATATTGCTTCATATGAGCATTTCTCAAACTTTCAACACTTCCATTTTGATGAAGAATCTGATGACCGACTAGTCTTATTTGCTAGATTTTAATGGTTTTTTGTCAAAGAAAATTGATGAAAAGGGGGAAAATGGGGAATGAGGGAGATGATAGCGGATGTGCTACTGTATGTGGGGCACACCTGTCTTTTTTTCCGGAGGACATAGAGTAGGGCGGGAGTCTGCGTCAAGGGGTCATGAACCCTGTGTCTCCTCTGGCCGGACAATCAGAGGAAAATGACAGATGCTACTAAATATCAAACACACAACTGTTGATTGCGACGTCTTTGTATAAGGGCCACGTGGCTTTGAGTTTAGAGACAAATAGAAAAATTGACACGGTCATTAGCCTTAAGTTTTATACTCCATTTCTTCTATGATACAAGAGTGGACACTCGGTACTGAATGGCTATTTTAAAAATGCATCGATTAACCTTATCTTTTTCATCTCTAAAGCCTTGTAACATTGTGTAATATGGCTCGATTTTGTATGAGTAAATGTGCGTGGTGTTGAAGGTGTTTTGTTTACAAACACTCCCATGTATTAAATCTAGGTTACATAAGTTTCTTTCTTGTTAGGAATGTTTTCTGAAGTGTTGTAGTGCACGACATTAGGAATGTACACACTACTATGTATGTCATTGAACTATTTCATTATCTGACCTGAATTTTCCCTCCCGGATGTGGTTTAATAGGGGGCATTGTAGAGAGAAAGAATATGTGTGGTAATTCCGTAGAACTGTCGATCACTTGGATGTCATCTTTGTTTACGTTGATTTAAAATTTTCATTGATAAGAACGCAAAAAGTCTGTAAACAAGTATTGTCATTTCCCATGTGACTCTGAGCATCCAAGGTAGTGTTTGAGTTTATGAAGAGTGACCTGACCCAATTGCACCACGCTGAATCTTAGTAACGGACGCACTAAAGGCTTCCGCTGCGATTTTTTGTGTGGCAGCTAAAGTATATTGACCCTTGGCCGAGCGTTGAGGTCACAGGGAGAAAATATCTTGAGGTTAAAACGCTAGATATCTTCGATCGGACAGACCTCCACATTGTCGAGTTCATGAGGATAAGCAATGAAAATCATATTCGTAGGCTGTTAACATAATTGATTATAGATTTATGTATCGCATCTATAGTGGCATCACATGGTCAGTACCGACCCACTAAACTAGTGGTCAGGCAGTACGTGCGTTGCCATCGACCTTGATCCAAAAAAGATGGGATTTTACCATGAGCAAAATTCAGGAAAGGGACGTTATTCAGACTAAATCTAACGGATTCATCATTGTGGAATATTTTAGTAGAGATAATTCTGACGAATGGCATAAAAGTGAGGCATATGTCTTAAAGCAAAATTATATACGGATGAACATGTGCTTTGTGTCTTACTAATGCTATAGGATTCTCTCGGAATCAGAATTCGGACCAGATTTCCATCCAATGACGAAGAAGCATGGGAAGGAATGGAGGTTATTTTTAATTTATTACATTACGCGTTTAAGAGTGAAAATAGTAATTAATGTCCATTTTTACTACTGTGTGGTGAAATTAGTTGCTTAAAACTAACCTTCCGTTACGTTGAATCGGATAAAATATAACCACAGACTTATCCTTTTCATTAGTGCTCACATTATTTTCATAATAATATGAGACCATACTTTTCCTAACTCCGATTTTCGAGAGTTACATGCGTGAACACACGGGTATGGAAATGAGAGGAATGAAAACAAAAAAGATGACTGGTGTAAAAGACAATGGCTCTTGTCAAATGCGATTAGGGCTTTTAGGGTATTTCCTAAGCAACCAATTTCATTTTTCTGTGTCCAGGGTCTGTTAACATGTATTCATCAGGAAAGGGCCAAATACCAGGTACTTATTTGGGATATACATGTAGTATTTTGACCTTTTCCTCTTGTAGTTATCTTTTAGAGCACTGAATGACCTTTAAACCTTTGTGCAAAACGCAGAAAAAAAATGATGTCATAGTTTCAGATTCATGGGAGTGGCTGATATTATAGGAAACACCCCTCCCTTGTTTTCTCTATCTTAATGAAGTTTTCATCAATATCTAATCCTCTTTTTTCATTTGTAAAGAATGGTATCTTCACAAATAGGTGAGTTTAAATTATCCATTAATTATTTAGATTTTGAGAAAAGTGACTAATCTTAAATTTATGAAAATATTTTTATGTTAGTGAAAACATAAAATATAAATAATTAAATATTAGAAACATCAAATGTATTTATCTGTAGAGGTACAAAAAAAGAAATTAAACTTGAACAAATAAAAATTTCCATTATGTTTCATTCATCATTTTGGAAAAAATTCAAAAAAGAATAAAAAGTTACACTGTTGTTATTAAAAAATGGGGGAAAATGTGTATGTTAAAAATAAAGATATTTGTAAATACAGCCTGGGTTAAAAAAAATACCACTGTTTGCCCGAGGCATGTGACTGGACACAATAATTATTTCTGGGCATTAGGTTCATAAACCCCAGGTGGAGAGCATATTTACTAGGGCAAGTAGAGAGACAAAATGGTGGAAAAATCTCAAGATACTTTTTAAGGATACTATTATTTTAAAGGTCTATGACTGATATATTTTAAAATTTTAGAATATAATTATCAATGTTATGTGTAATTCAGACTACAGTTTAAGTGTAACGAAAAACACAGTTTGTTAAGTCAATGAAAATAAATTTTTCAGGAAATTTTATATTTGTAGTTATTGTTTTGTTTATATCAGGAATATTTCAACAGATATCCTATTTCAACCCTTCTGTCATTTCTTTTCATTTACTTTATAACTTTAAAGATATACCCATGATTGTTGTGAAATTAATTAATTTCATTTTTTTTCAAATATAGAATATTGATTATCTTTATCATGTTTCTTATTTTATTTTCCTACACTTAGAATATTATTTTTGAAGTTAAGCTCTTACATTATTCAACATAATTGTATTGATTTGAAACAATGTATAAGAAATCCAGCAAAGTCTGTTTAATTTAAACATCATGCATAAGAAATATAATTTACTTTCATATTACAAATGCACTGACATCCCCTAAATTCCTTCTGTATATGTTGAGTTTTTCTCCTTTATAATTTTAGCATTAGTAGACTGTCAATCAAACCTCCACAGACCGCTCTCCCTTTAGATGACCATTGAAATGTATTTAAGTAACCATTTATCATAAATATTTAGATGTCATATGTTCTGCCCCCAGTGAGATTCACCCCAGATGTTTCCTCATAAGTCAAGGATTAACAATCAAGAGTGGCTTAAGTTGTTTTCCTGTGTAAACAAATGGTATCTTACACTATCAACCTCTATTTTCTTTGGAGAGGCGGAAGGGTACTTATTATGCTAATATATATGTATATATACACTTCTGCCACTAGCTGGATGGGTTTCTTTGGCAATTTGTATTATACAAATAAGCAATATACACTTGTTTGAATTTAGCTCATTGTGAAGGAAGAACATTTTGAAAGAAGTAACAGAAGCAAAAGCTGCAATTAGCACATAAGCCATTTGCCATTTTAAATAGTTTAACACAGCATTTTATATGTGTATTCCACTTTACATTGTCAAAACATCAAATGTTTAAATACATGTTATGAAATATTTTTTGCAATATTTATTGACCATGCTGAATGTACATTTCTGTTACCATAAAGGTGTTAAAAGATACTTTAGAATATGTAAAAAATATGAAATATAATATATTTGTATGCAAAAGTGTCTGTTTATAAGTTTCTGCTTGAACCATAGGCATTTATATAGTAGAGCTAAACAGAACATATCCTGCGATAAAGGAGATGTTTTTTCTATCTTTTTCCACCATCATCTATAGGATAACAAGTTTTTTTCATACTTTTTTTTACATTTCTAAAGTTTGTGGAGTAATATTTTTGGTCTTTTCTTTCATGGTAAAATAAGCTTTGTTTTTTAGTGTGATCTGTATATATTGTTTGAAATGTTTATTTCCCCTTCCATTTTGCTCTTTGAGTTCTATCACCCTTATAACAACTTCAGCAAGAGACACTATTTTCCCTGTCCGTACTTATTCATCCCTTTTGGGATTCTCCAAGTGTTGAAAAGTTAATTGAAAGTTTGTCAGTGTGGTGTTTCTTTGTAGCCATCTCTTGAAATGTTTATGTATACAAAATGGCTTCCATAAAGTACATTTTCTTTTCAGGAGGAGGCCGAAGGAGGGGCCGCTGTAAATGGTTCAATGTGGCCAAAGGATGGGGCTTTGTTACACCAGATGACGGGGCACAGGATGTGTTTGTTCATCAAGTAGGTATCCTTATTTCCATTACCATCGCATTCAAAATGTTGTCTTTGGTATTTTTTTTTCCAAATGCAAGTTTTAATTGTTAACATGGGGAAAAAATCTCCTATATAAATACATTTTCTGATTTTTAGTTTTTTAAATCAGTTTGTTTTGATGAAAAAAAGTATTTTAATGACGTCATATTTATTCTTATGCCATTAATAAAGTATTCCATCATTTTATCAGTATTAAAATCACTATTTTTCAAATGAATTATCATAAAAATATTATGTAAAAGTAATCGTTTTTGTTTCGAGTAAGCAAGGTAATGCTTTTGTAAAACTGTTTAAATAAAATTTAGTCTTAAAGCTGTTACCTTTCTTTACTTGACCTAACATTTTTCTCTGCGTATAATAGTCTTTTATTGCGTATAAAGTCATATTTATTCAATTGCGCACTATCCGTATACATTATACAAATTAAAAAATGATTTGTCGTACATTTAAATACTACTGTACAGTAACCTTATCTGCATCTCAGGACACGCTATTCATCATCGTTAATTATAACAACTGTTACACTAATTTGAACACATAAACAAAGTGAACAAAATCATTCCTATAAAATAAGCAAACAGAAGTGAAGGTTACATGTAATTGTATCATTGTACTAATTAAAACATTTTGTATTACCTCTCAGATCCCTGCTTTTGATGTAATTAATAATAATATCATCCGATTCATTTGTAAAGCTTAGGTATAAAATTAATCATTTCACAGGTGAAAATAGTGTGTATTTTAAATAGTCCTGTTATTTCCAGATTTAATTATGTGTCAACAAATTATTCTTGTTATCTTTTACGTTTTCGTTTTTGAAAGACTACCTTCTGTCACATATTTGTAATTTACAGTTGCGTGTTATTCTTGCGATTTATATTTGATGCATTTTGTAATGTTGACTCAGGCATTTCATGATCAACAAATACTCAAAATTCAAATCTATATTACTAATTAATATAACGCTCATCACAAGCATCATAAATTTACAGTCTTGCTATTCTAGGTCTAATTTTAATTGATTATTCTTAGAAGAATGGCTTTGGAATATATTCTTTTAATACAGTTTTTGTTTTTTTAATTTATCAATGCTTCATTTTAAATGCAAATATCTATGTTTTCATTATATGTAAAGGTCATAGATTTTGTTCCTTTTCTCGGAAAACAATTGCAGGAAGACAAAAGAATGTAACTTGATGTCCATAAAATTTACCAGACCAATTGTGTTACATGTTTTGTGGACATATTTTAAATGTAATACAGAATATGTTTATAAATAAAAGGAAGGCACAAACTCTCTTGTTTTTGCTTAGATATATGATAAACCAGGAAAGTTTCTTTATGTGAACTGTATTCTTTCCGAATCCATCTTCTCTAGTATTAATGTTAACTCTTTTGTCCAAATTTTATTGTTTTAACCCTTATAAACAAACTATATAAAGTTTTTAGTTAAGACGTGTTTTCTTTAATTTATTCTTAAAAACATAAACATTTAGCTTTGATTGATTTTATAAGACTGGAAAGATATAAGAAAAAAAATTTCGATATGAATTCTTGTTCATGATATAAGTAAAATCTTTTTTGTATGACATATTGATCGAGTATTGTACTGTGTCTTTGCCTGGCGGTACTCAGAATCTAGCTTTACTGTAATATGTTGTGTAGCCGTCTCAACGTCCAGCCATAAACAATGTAAATCTGTCACGTGGTCACAGGCCTTAATGTTGCAATCACATGTTACATATGTACAATGGTAATAAGAAGTTTTGCGAAGTGATTATGATATGAATATATGCGGATTATGTTAAAGACAGGCTTCAGAAAAATTATATAACCTTTTTCATCTGTTCTGTTTCCTTCTTTATTTTGTAACTTACTAAGGAATCATAAACACTGCATGGTTAGTATTATCTACATACACAAGACAGATTTCAAAAAAATGCAATACAAATACCGTCAGTTCAGAAATACTGTATGGTCAGTATAATCTAAGCACAAAAATAGATTTCAAGAAATTCACAACAGTTTTCTTAGTACAATCAGTTCAGAAGTATTTTTGACTTTTAATATATTTTGCTTATCTTCAGGCCTATCAAAAATAACCGTGAAAACAACAAAAGTTCAAAAATAAGAGGAAAGCTTATTTTTATGAATATGATGATTGAGTAAAGGTCTTAAACAAATGACATGTAGTCTAGATGTTTAATAACTTCTTGCAAATGTACCTTCTCTATATGCAAATATTGATATATGTGTATGTAAAATATAAACATTTAAGTTTTATGAATGTATCATTTGGTATGAACTACTCAATTTCAAACAGAAAGGAACTATCATTTGAAAAGTGGGTACATTGTACCTTAACCTATGATTCTTTCAATTCCTTAATAAAATAATTTTACTAAAGAATTATTATTTTACGTGAGGTACTCCGATCTTCAACCAGGAAGGATAACTCTTTAATTTATAATTTAATTCAAAAAGTCTTAAAATGAAGCTTGAAATTAAATCTTTCCATGCAACAATTTTCATTTAATGCCTCTCAATGTGCTTCAGTGTTCTTTGAAGTTCACAGGAAGATCTTATAAAAAGTCGAAAATTTTACCCCATAATAGTATTTTAAAATTACATCTTTCAAGAAATTTAGGGTCTTTTTATCTAACCAAAAATACCAGTGGTTATTAACATGATAAGAAATTAGAAGTGATTTATGGTGTTTTGTACTGAGAGAAAAATCTTTATGCACTATGTATTGTAAAATAATCGAAGTAAATTGAAGAAACTCAAGTACCTCACATGTATGGATTAAAAATTGTGCAAGTTCTTCAAAACCCGGATACCTATGAGTTTTATTTCTTAAATGTGTTTGTTGATCAAATTTAAATTGGAAAATGCATAGTACATGTTTTAATTCGCATTTGCTGAGAATTTTTTTAAAGAATTACTTATTTTCCCTATATAATATGATTTAAATTTAAAGATGAAGTTCGAAAAATTATCGTTTGTAAAAACTTAAAACTTTGATAATTCAGAGACATTTTTGTGAGCATTTTAAATTTTTCAACGCCTGATTTTTAGGACCTGTGGATCAGAATACCTCAAATATTTTCTTTTTTTTTTGTTATTGTGAAAAAAGTCAATTTTAAAATATAAGTACTCTTCAAAGTCCATAGATTGTGTGAAAAAATATTAAGAACAATTTTAAGGTTTTTTTAAATAATACTTGATTATATGCAGCGAATCTTAAATTTTAAAATAGTATTTTAAGTGATGATGCCAAAACGTTTCTTCTGTTTTAAATTTGTCCCAATTTGAGAGTTAACAAAAAATACATGTATAATGTAGTCTTCCAAAGTCTATTTTTATGAAATTTTTATTCATTTTTTCAGTTGCACAAAAATTCATTCTGAAAGAAAAAGGCGCAAATTAAAGTAATTGCGAGAAAAATAATACGATTTTTTTTTTTTACCTTTTTTTCTATAACTTTATTTTTTAAGTTTTTCTATATTTCACAAGTTTATTATCTGGGATGATCTTTGTCAAGAGTACATTCTTTCAATAATTCTAATGATGTATGATAGGAAAGTTGAACATAAAATTCAATGATCTGTACAATTTCTTTAATTAAATTCCTGAAAATGTTAAATTCCTCAAGTTTGGTCTAAAAATTAAATAAATCATTTAAGAAATCGCGTTTTTCTTATTATCAGGAATTAAAATCAAAATTAAACTGTAACAGTTGACTATGATTTCCAGATCAGTGTACTTGTGAAATTTAAATTAAATATTGTCTGAAACCTATTAAAAAAACAAAAAAAAAACAAAAAAGAAAAACAAACAACAACAAAACAACAACAAAAAACAAGAGCAAAAAAAAAAAGAATTTTTTTTGCAATTACATATTTTTAAAACAATCAATTTTAGAGATATTTCATGATCTAAGTTTGAACTGGTGCAATGGTTGAATTTTATTTATTAAAATGAAAAAAAAAATATGAAAAAGAAAGTGTTTTTTTTTCAAATATTTGACTTAGAATTAAACTTTAATGAATATGTATAAAAAAAAAACCCCATTGTTATTCATTTCGTTATTGTCACTCTACATACAGATTGAAGCTGATGTCTGTGTGCAAAAAAGTCTAGCATCTTATAATCTCGGTTTACTGCTTAATCAATACACATAAGGTTCCTCTGTTTCCACTGATTGCCAGGGCTTTCCATTCTAATGTAATGCAAATGGTCAGGAGAGAAGGGCGTATAGAAAATATACAACCTTAAATCCTGTATATTATTGATTTTGTTTTTCCTCTTTCCCTTCACATTTTTCCTTTACTTATCTAAGACTCTGTTTGAGGAAAACTACAGTGTATGGAAAAATATAAAAAGGAAAGTAATAATTTCATTTCTGATAAGCATTATAAAAGAAATATAAATTGCACAAATATTAGTATGATTTCATTTCATATTACATGTAATACCGATAAGGAATCAAATTAGGGTTTCATAATTTGAAAGTTTTAAAATATTTATAATTTAAAAGCTTTAAATACATCAACCAAGATTAACACGTGTGTGTCACATAGATTTAAAACATGATAACATTTATATACATGAAATCACTTACAATCTATTGCTTTGAAATGTACAAAATATTTCAACAACAAATGGCACTAAAATTTCTCTTATAACTTTTTTGATGAATAAAGAATTAAAACTTCGTTTCCTGTACTTTTTCTTACCATTTCTTTCGATCAGAATATGAAATTATATCGTTCAGATTTGTTTTCTCTTTCAGTCGGTCGTTCACAAAGCTGGTTTTAGAAGTCTAGACGATGGAGAAGAGGTAGAATTTGAAAGTAAACCTTCAGATAAAGGAGTGGAAGCTACCTTTGTTTGTGGGCCTTCGGGTACCGAATGCAGAGGAAGTTCACGTCGACCGCTGTCGAGGAAAAAGTTTAGGAAAATAAGGTCCCATTACATTTCCTTAAACAAAAAAAAAAAGAATTCTGTAAATTGAAATTAAAGTACATTTTGTTATGATTATGTAATAAGAAAATTAGCTTTAGCATACCTTTTCAAGCTGAACTTTGATGTAACGAAGAGACAATTTTGAATCATATCAGTCTGCTTATTTCTCTTTCAATTTAACATAACTATTATTTTAATATGTTAGAAGATAAAAGAATTTATGGATTTAAATTAAAATGTTTACATAGTAGGTGCTACAACTGTGGTGACTTTGGAAACCATATCGCTGCCAAATGCCCCCATGGACCGTTACCAAAGAGATGTCATAACTGTAAATCCACCGAACACCTCATTGCAGATTGTCCTATTCGAACTCCCGAAAAACCACTAGTCCGAAACGGAAGTAGTGGTAATAATGTCGGGCTCGGTGAGGGACATAATTCCGGATTAGGAGGTCTGTGAAAGTGTTGTTCATTTGTGTTTATCATGAAAAATAACAGCAGAATGGAGCATCTGTTAGTCAGATTCGTTTGATTTATAGATTGTATCTTGTTCCTGTGACAAATAATTTCAACTTTTGTGGACTTACTGCCGCCTACATCGTTACATTTTTGTTCCAAACTAAATGGAATCGTCCTGAATACTGGATAATCCCTGGCATTTTTTGACTGCTAAGGCATTTCTTAAATCTATTTATATGATTTAAACTTATCAGCAGATGTCTGCAATGGGCGATGCACCTTCTACTATGTACCAAAATTTTGGTTGTAACATTGGAAAAAGTAATAGTGCTGAGAAACATTTAATGACGTAGATACATTTTCTATATTGTTACCGTTTTCCATTACGTGACTGAAATGTCACATTACTTTTCATTGTGCCGTTTCAATTATGATGTTGAGCTTTGTATTACTTGTGTGTTTCACATGATGTAAGACTATATAGCAACCATATCTACCTCAATTGAGGGTTTCTAGTATTTTTAAACCGTGTGTTCTTTGTGTTTTAAGTTTTGTTTTATTTCTATTTTTTTCAATATCAGGGGCGCTAAGAAAAAAAAGAGGAAAACAGAAGAGTTACAATAAAATAGATATTTTATATGTTATATTTTCTTAATCTATGATGAGAGAAATAAGAAATACAAAAAATAATAAGATAAAGTTGATATAAAAAATAACACATTTAATGGCAGCTTTACCCTGTTTAATCATTGATGTTTAGAAAATTGTAAAAAATTGTATAATGATATTGAAAAATTTAATAAAGTCTTTTATGTAAAGTTGAAATATAACAAACAATGTATAATATTTATTAAATGACTTATAACACAGATTATATTGAAGAAGATTATATTTAATAAAGTATATAAACTTTTGTTAATAAAATGACAAGACAAAAGTTGCACTTGGCAAGTAAAACTATATTATGATAAATAAATTACAAAACATAATTTTGAGAACAATATGGAGTATGAAGGGGGACGTGGCTAAATTTCTCAAAACAAATTTGTGAATTTCTTGGCACTTCTAAATCAGTGAAAAGATTATCTTGTGTCACGTGATTTGAATAAGCGTTTTATTACAACTTTTTTTCAACAGCTAATAACACAATAAGACTTTTTGTTACATAAAGGCTATTATTTAAGGAAATGGATATTTGATCATTTATTAAATGTAAAATTTGAATTGAATAAATTCGTATAAAAATATTTTGTTATATAAACCACAAAGTTGTCAAAACAAAAAGCTGCCACCAAAAGCAAACTGCTATGAAAAGCTGTTTGCAAAAAACAAGGCCAAAACGTCTTTTGTGTTATCTACTAGTAAAACTTTGAAGTAGAAGAGGTATAACATCTTACTCATTCTTTCAGGTGTATTTAAGTTTTTTAAACCAACAAATCAACTTTTTGTTGAAAGGAAATGGATTTTGATCATTGTAAAATTTGAATTGAATAATTCGTATAAAATATTGTTAAGGAATAGAAATTTGTAAAATAAGTCTCATATTCGATTTTTTTTTTCATTTACAACATTTTTTTTATTTATATACTTTTAGAAAGCAACTCAATGATTAAACAGTTGGTATTGGAGACGGAAAATTTCATGGAGATATAATTTTAACCATTGGCGGGGCACATCATCTTTTTCAATTTGTTGCGAAATATTTCTTTATAAATCTTTTTTCCATACTTTTTTTATTAGCTTGTACTCTTCCACGTTCTCCGAGGTTTTAGTTGAACATTTATTTTACACCCACTAGTTAAATACTTATTTGTTTTATAATGATTGTATATTTTAAGCGTCCTAAACTTTATTTTTAGCTCAAGAGCACACAAATACTTTTTCATGGGTAATTTACTTAGATGTTCGTTTTGTTGCTTTTTAATGAATAATTTACTTCGATGTTCGTTTCGTTACTTTTGTAACATATTTTTTCCCTTGTTTAAAAAATACTCATGAATATACAAAATCAAGTATCGAAATAGTCTTCAACGGGCATGGAATGTATAGATTTAGACTTGTTAAGATTTTAAAAGGTATTCTTGCCAATGATCCGTTGTTTCAATGATTTTATAACAAATTCTGATTGAAATATGATGATTTTAGCATTTCATAAGACGTAAATTAAAGTCTACGGTATAAATTATAGGGACAACGAAAAGTTGCTTTAGAACTTGGCATATTTTAAACTCACAACGAACGTATACAGTTTATTTTCTTAAAGACAGGCGTTCCATAAATTATATTTTAAAGTTGAAGGCATTGCAAGACAAAATAAAGTACATCTATCTAAAAAGTTATACGATTTACAGAACATCTTTATGCTGGTTAAATTATCTGTAAAGTAACAAATTTTACGAATTATACAACTAAATGTTTTTCAATATCTTCTGAAATATTTGAAAATGAATTTTCACTTGTTAGCTATTATCACTTGATGTTGTTTTAATGTTTTAAAGATCTGTTTTTTGCGTTGATCTTGATATTTAAACTACCAAAGATTTCATTAATATGCAAAACCGAAAGGAAACAAAAACTTGTATAGCTGCAAATGACTTACTTATATAAAAGAGATACTAAGTAGATTGAATCAAACCAAAAATGTATGATATTTGTTTCACTATTTTAATGACATGTATTGCATAGTAGATTTATAAATAATTTTTAGGCAACATTCAATAAGTTTTACATTGATGAATTATTAGCCAAGTACGAGTCCTTTTTGTTTTAATAGTCAGTCTTTAGAACGTTAAACGTTTTGTTGTTTTTTATGATTTTTTTTTCTGTTAATGGATTGCTCTTGATTGATTTGTTGTTATGTTATTCTGTGTTGATCCCAGTGAAAATGGGTCTTATGAAGCTAGATTTTCCACAAACTCAATGTTTATTGTGTGTTTAAACAACAGATATTTTAATCTGGCCCCAAGATCATGAAACAGATTTGGACTAAAGTCAAATTTTCAATTAGTTGTCAAATATTTTTAATTAGTTAATCTCAACATTTGCAAATAACAACACTTTATTAACAATATTCGAACATATTTTTATTTTTAGTCTTGTTCTACAACATAAAAGTTTAATATCAAGATTTTGACTTAAGCAAAAGATGCTTCATCGTCCAGGGGCCTGATCAATTTATTATTACGTTGGATAACTTGCAGTTTTTAAATTCAACTCACAGTTTCACATAAATTCTTGTATTTTTTTTATTTGGTGCTATTATTGAATGTGTTAAAAGAAAGTATCATTTGATTTCGTTGGTGAAAAAATCTTGAAGAAAAAGCATGTCATACACAGAATTTTTCTGTAGAGATATTTGTCTTCTGTGAAATTTGACCTTAGTTTGGCTTGTAAATTAGATCGTACTTAATATTAAGAAATTAAAATCTACCTCAGTATTTGAAAGGAGTGCAAATATCCTCCGATCTGCATTCAACATTATTCCATTAGATAATATGATATATTAGGACGAATGCTGATGTTGGTGGAGTGGTGAATGGTACATTTTTATTTTTCTGAATATCCTTATTTGCTCTTTCTAAGACAAAAATCTTTTTGGCTGTAATTTTCCATTATTGCAATTGTTCTTTCTAGTGAAAGTGATATTACGTATACGAAATGTGCAATTTTCAATTTAAATATTATAAATGTATACATAGATTACTAAACAGCCTTAATTTCTCCATTCTACCGTCTGAGTTTGTGGTAAAATCTTTTTCTAGTAGTCATGTGTAGAAAACTATGGACAAGAATAAAATCTTTAAAAGTTCTTCATGTAAAAGTGTTGTATTTTTATCCCTATCGTATGCAACCCTATCATGATAAGCCACTTAGAGGGGGAAACTTCTTTACCCCACCTCTGTCGATTTTTCCGTGAAATCCTGGCTTACGATTGGTCGAAGTCTGTCACGTGAAGACGGTGGATTACTTATACCCGGTCAGTTATAAATCTATACCCGGTCGATGTATTACGTCACAAACACAAACGTGACGTCACAATAAGCACAGTTTAATCGTGATGAAGAATTTAGCAGAGAAAACCATTTATAAACTAAAGATAAAACGTAAATGTTACATTGGTGGGGTAAATTCGTTACAAAGTCTTTTAGTGACAGGGTATGGGATGATACCTGGTTAGTAAATTTCATACCTGACTCAGCTCCGCCTCGCCAGGTATGAAATTTACTAACCAGGTATCATCCCATACCCTGTCACTAAAAGACTATGTAACTAATAATACACATCTACTGCATTAATTAAGGACAACATGCTGTCTATATTAGGAAGATGAACTACTCTTTATATTGTCTCCTATCATGCGAGATAATTTGATAGATATGGCTTTCGATATATTTTATTTAAGAAATTTAAAATATCATTTCAAACCTTTGAAAACTTTAAATATACTAAGTAGAATTAGTATTGTATTGTTTAAGTACCTGAATTGAATTAACTCTTTTTACAAACAGATAATTTGTTTTCCTTTGACTTTGGTAATGCTTTTATATTATTTTATAAAGTTCAAGCTAACTGCATATGAATCTATTGTCATCTGGATAACCAAATGCCTAAATTCACAGTCACTTCCTAATCTAAAATGATACATGAAGGCAAGTCAGAAGAATATAAAGGATATTAAGAAAGCGTTTGCTACATGAGATATGTAATAGATACGAAGTTTAATGTCAAAACTTCAAACATCCGATATACCCTTCAATATTGTCCTAATCATCTTTAGGTCCGTCTGCAACATCATATTATCATATACAAAAGTCTATATCTTTTAAGCATCTTTAAAAGCAAATAATATAATACAAAATTAATCTTGCTGAAAATTAGGTATCTTATTATCAGAAAAGAGACATTCATATCGGTTGTAAAAGATATTTGACACATACTGTAGTTATTAATTAGATGAAAAAGGATATTCGTCATCAAAGCATTGTATATAAGGTATACTGCTTTTAGTTTTTTCATGTTTAATATACTTTATATAAACATAGTCCCTTCAATGTGATTTTCAATTATGATTTTAATATGATTTAAACAAAAGATGTATCATTTTCATAGAAATAATCTTGATTCACGTGAAATACATGTAATCAATCATAAAATGACTTCCCTTAAAGTGAAAAATCGATGTCTTTTTGAAAGATAAAACGTTGAAAATTAGTAAAAATGAACAATAAATGATTTTTCCGTTATTTCCCGATCATGACAAGAAGCACACGGCGGATGCGACCGGTCGGCAGGGGATGCTCACTCGTCCATGGCACCTGATACATGTACCACCTCTGATGTTATGGAGGTCCGCGTTTGGCTGTTTGCTCTGCTCGTATAATGAATTGTTTAATGGACTTTTAAGATTAAATACTTATCGTTATCTCGTTTAATCATGAAAAAATATTTTGATATGTAAACTGGAGCTATATTTCCAATAAAGAGGAAGAAAGTCCAGTAAAATGTAAATAAGATTCTTCATTTTTAATTTTAAAAAATGCATTCTTTCTGCTGACTCTTACGGCCACATTTAGTAAATTAGTATTAACATTTATCACTTTTATTCCGATAGTGTTAAGGTAGATGAGTAAGTTAATATTTCATTGTATTGCCTTTTGTTAACATAAAAATATAATAGTGACTATAGTAGAAACTGATATACATTACACCAACTCCTTTGGACCTATCTGTCACTATATATAGCATAATTATATATCAAAAAAG